CTGCCAAAGCGGACGAGGCTGGCGGGAAGCGCGCGGCACCACTGGTTGGAGACGTAGATGAGGACGAGCGCACCGAGCAGCAGCCGCGGCCGACGCGCCGCGCTCGTCTTGGACTGTGCCGCCGGCCCCGCCGCGCAGAGGAGAGGCGACGACGAGCCGCGGCGGCGTTGTAGCTGCCATGCCGGCAGCGCCGGCCGACGAGCCACGTAGCCGCGTGCGGGCACGACGCCGTCCACGCCGAGTGGCCGCTCGAGCGCGGCGGCGAAGGCCAGCAATGCCAGCACGACGCGCGGCATCGGGAGCACGGTGCCGGGCCCCACAAAGGGCGGCGAGAGCAGCGGTGGCGGAGCTGGCACTCAGTCGACAACCAACACGGTGAAAAATAAGAAGACCGCGCGGCGCGCTCCTGGGCGTGCGGCAACTAACTGCACTCCAAGTGCTCCAAGTGCGCCAGACCTCAGCGGAGCTGGGAATAGGACCGCCGCAAGCGGCGTGGCGTGGAGCGGTTGAGCATCCCTCCGGGGGCCCCTCTGCGCCGGGGAGGCGTTGTTGGAGGCTAGGACGCAAGCGTCCGTCGCCCTTTTCAAACTCGGGGCCCACTCCGCTACGCTCCGACCCGAATTTGGACGCCGCCAGTCCCGTGCCCAGTGTCGACACGGAGTTGGTTGTAAAATTCTTGCGTATCGCGTACGTCCCCGACAGCCGCGCCGGCCCGTCGCTGCCCTGCCCTCGAAACCGACGCATGGACTTCGGGCGTAGCCTGCAGCGCCCGAGATGGACCCATACGTGGCCTGCAGCAATGGCTGGTTCGAGGCCGTGGAGTCCGCTCTCGCCGCGGAGCCCGCTCTCCTCAATGCGCCACAGCGTGGGGGCCTCTTTGACTCTCGCACGCTTCTCCACTGTGCCGCATCGAGAGGCCATTTGCGTCTCGTAGCGGAGCTGCTCAAGAGAGGCGCGGACCGTAGCGTGACGGACAAGCGCGGTGCAACTGCACTCGTACTCGCAGGCAAGGCTGGCCACAGCGAGGTTGCCTCCCTCATAGAGGCGGACTCCGCCAGCACATCAGCAAGCTCCAACAAGGCTCCTCCCGGCCGTGGTGCTCGGGTTCAGTCGAGAGAGGAGCGCGCCTTGCTTTCTCGGGAGCGTCGCCTGGAGCGCGCCCTGCTGATTGAACAGCACCGAAAATCGCGAGAGTCGAACGGCGAGAAAGAGGCGCAACGAGGACAACAGAGGAGCACCACAAAGGGCGGCAGCGGTCGGGAGCCTGGGAGAAGGAGAGGAGGGCAGGGCGGCAAAGGTCAGCTCTGGTCAACCCGGTCTGGTCGGCCCGTCGCACGTCCTGCTGTGCTCCGCCACGCGCCGAGGAGCAATTCGCCGACCGGAGGGGCGTCGCATATGTCACGGCAGATGTTGGAGGATCTTGGGCTGCGAGCTCCGCTTGCGACGGCACCCCTGGACCCTACTCCGCCGTCGGCGAGAGCATCCCCAGACTCCACTCCGCTGGCGAGAGCAGCCCCAGACTCTGCTGTGCGAGCCCTTGCGAGCTCGGGCAATCGCAGATCGACTCGAACGGTTGAGTTGGAGGAGCTGCGCAAGCAGCTAGAAGCCCTTCGCAAGGAGAACAGCTGGCTCAAGCTCCAGACCACGGGCGAGGCATCCCTCGACGAGGACGAGGCCGGGTGGCGCGAGTTCCTCTCCCACCTCAAATGCGTGCTGCAAATGCGGTCCGCGGGTAGGTTTGAGCAGGCAACCTTCGACCAGTTCGAGCAGGCGCTCGTTGCCCTCTCGGATCAGCACCTTCGCGATCTCTACTCTGGGCTCATGTTGATCTATATCGACGAGCACGACGCCGCCGTGCTCGAGAGGCTCGGCATCGGCGAGCCCGACGAGTCGACAGTGGGGTTCGCGGAGATGGTCACGATTCGGCTCGGCGAGCTGATGGACGTTCCTCGACACGTCCGCATCCAAAACTTCCAGACAGCTCAGCGTCGCAAAGACGAGAAGGTGCGGGAGCGAGCGGAGGAGGACAGGCGCGCCCGCGAAGTGATGGCTGCGGCTGCGGCTCAGCGCGAGATTAATGAGCGGGTCGGAAAGGCACTCCAGCCGCGCTGGCGGTCTCTTCTTGCCGGCGAGGGGGAGGCGTCCGAGGTCCGACGCTTTCAGCGTCACCCCGAGCTCCGGCTACTCGTTGCGAGCGACACCGACCTCAAGATGATCTCGCCATACGACTGGCGGAACATGGCGTGCTCCGGTCTGAGAGAGCAGGAGCTGCGCTGCCTCTCCTCCCGGCTCGACACTCCGGGAATGCCAGCGCAGGCAGACGGCTTCAAGAGGGCCGTCGCCGCTCGACTCGCCACGTGCGATCTTCCGACGGAGGCGGCTGTGGCCACGCTCTGCAAGGCCCACGGTGGCGGTGTCAGTGCTAGCACACCCGAAGGAGAGGCTCCGCCGAAGCCATTGCCGGCTACGACGCCGGCGCCGCCCCCTGCTCCGCCGCCGCCGCCGCCGCCGCCGCCGCCGCCGCCGCCGCCGCCGCCGCCGCCGCCGCCGCGACCTCCACCGCATCCGCAAGCTCCAGAGAGGGCGGCTGAGAGCGGCGTTAGCACCGCCGATGGACATTCCCAGATTGTTGCCGCCATTGCTGCACGCAAGGCCGCGCAAGAGGAGAGGATGCGGTTGATAGCGGAGGGCGAGCTCGAGGTGGAGGATCCGCGCGAACGGCGGCTGCGCGAGATTGCGCTGAAGCAGACAAAGCTGCCCTTACTTGCGTTCCCTGCCTTGCCCAGAAAGCAGAGCTCGGAGCTCAGCAATCTCGGGACATCGCGGGCCGATGGAGCAACGTAGGTAACGGCACGAGAGCTTTGGCCGCTTGTGCTGACTGATTTTGGCCCTCAGGTCAGCCTCAGGCTCGGCTCAGAGCCCGAGTATAAAACGTCGAGGATTTCACTGAGTTTCTTGAGCAGCTTACAGCTCGGGCGTCTGCCTAGCACTCGTCGCACGTCGCAGTCTCTCGCCCACGCGCAGCAGTGTAGCAGCGACCTCCCCACCGGAAGCCGTTGTATCTCTTTAAACGCAGAAGAATTATTTTTAATTGTGTTCAACATTGGCCGCCGAAATCGAGGGGTGTGCTTGCCGCACGACTTTATCCCTGGTGCGGCCGGAATTTTTCGCGGTCTCCGCGGCGGATATGGCGGGAGATATGGCCTCTGGGCCGGCGCGGGGCCCCCCGGAGGCACCGTGCGCCGCGCCGCAGTGCGGAAACGGGGCTCCGGCTCTATGAGTCTCTATGAGCACCGACTTCCCGATTAAGTACGGTTAAGTAGAGGGCAGATTTGGAGAGATCTCGAGGAGTACATACAGATAGACCCTCCAACCATCAGAAAACTCCGACCTGATCGGTCGTACTGACCGCCGACAGATCACTCCAGACAGCAGACAGGCCGACGTCTGCACGCGGCCGGCCGGGCGAGAGGCTTGACACGATCCGACCCTGCGACCCTGACGCTGCTGCTCTAGCTATCAGCCATGCACTGCTGACTGCTGCCACAATGTGCGACCTGTGCTGGCCCACTTGGCGGCCTTCCCGGTCAGTGGTGAGGCGCAGTTCAGAGCTGTCGATGGCGCGATGCCGCACTGGTCCCACATTGGTGACACGATACCACCAAGTTTGCCGGTCCAAGAGAGAGGCACCGGCGCTGTCCTGAGAAGGTGCATGGTCCCTCTTGACTGCCCATGCGCGCGAGGCTGTGTAGGCATAGCCTCGAGAGTGCCAGCAGCCAATCCGAGGTGACGCGCATTGCGCCAGAAGCGTGCACACGATGGAAGGACACCTTCCTACTGGCCGTACGATCAGGTCGTCACTGAATGCTTGATACTAAGGCCGCGAGCTATGCAGGTGATCAATTGTGCATCATGGCACGGTCAGCTGCGCCGACAGGCTGTCGCAAGGCGTGATAGCATGGCCGCAAGTACGCCGAATTCCCATGAAAACAAGTAAAAAACGCGAAAAAAGAAAAACAATCCGAAAAAATCGGCGCCTGCGGCGGGCCATGGGACCCCATCTCCCCCCCGCATGGACACCCTCTGGGGCCCCCGCGCCGGCCCAGAGGATATGGCGGGATATGGCGGGATGCCGCGGGGAGAGATACACCGGGAGATACCGGGAGATACCGGGAGATACGAGATACGGGCAGATACGCCGGCCCCCAACTCCTCCCACTTTTCTCTTTTAGCCCGAGATCGCGCATCTCGGGGCATATCTCGGACTCGGCGAGGTGGATCCGTGGATTGGGTTGGGAGCGAGGGGGCGGAAGTGATCAGTGCGGTAGATCGGTCAGTCGGGGCGCGTGAGCCGGACTTGGGGGCCAGGCGGCTTTCATTTCTCCATGCGTTCATGCACATGCGACATGGAGTGCAAGATACTCGTTTGTTGCAGCTCGTTCTGTTGCCGTCCCAAATGTCACTCCCCTTTCTCCCGGCCGGGGTGGGGGGCGCGCGGGGGCGGCGGGTGTGCGGGATGTCTGTGAGCCCGAGAGCGATGTGCGTGTGTCCGCCCTGCGTTTGTTTCATTACATCGATGGTAGCTCCAAAAGTGTGCAAAAAAGAATTCAAGCACTAGCTGACAGCAGACTGGCTCGGACTGGCGCTACAAAGAACAACGCGCTAGCCGCGCGACGACACTCGATCGACAACTCTCCGTTCATGCGACCTAATGTGCGCCTCTCGGCGAACCTCAGCATGCTCTTCACCGAGGCTCCCTACCTCAAGCGCTTCGGCCTCGCCGCCCGTCACGGCTTCCGCGCCGTCGAGTCGCTCTTCCCGTACGGCGAAGCACCTGCGAGTGCGGTGGCTGCGGAGCTTGAGAGGCACGGGATGGAGCAGGTGCTTGAAACAGACACCGGGAAATCATTGCTTCCAACGAAATCGGTGTCTGTCTCAAACACAAACGCACAGCCCCGCGGCCCAAGAGACACCTCGCTGCATCGCGGGGGGCGCGCAAGCACACTCATCACTGTGGAGTTCACGAGCCAATAAGAAATCTAGCACACCTAGTGGCTTGGGCTCGGCAGCTTGTCTGTTGTCAACTCTAGCCGAAGCCAGAGTCGGTCGGAGCCGAGGAAGTCGTCGAGGCGACCGAACATTTCGTTCACGTCGCTAGAGTAGAGCCGGTGCCACATGTGATTCTTCTGGCAAAATTAGCCGCCCCTACGCCTGGATCCCCTATCGCGGCGGTGCCGCACCGGATCGCGATGCAGCTGCGCCATGCGGAGACCTGCCCCCTCCAGCTGCGCCCCGGTGAGATATGCCCCCTGCAGCTGGGAGGTGAGACGAGACTCTTCGCCCAGCAACTCTTGCGGCATGGGGGCGAGGCCGTGGACGAGCGCGAGGTGAAAGACGAGAAACCGAATCATCATCAGGGCCTATGAATAAGGAGACGCGATTGGCGAGCGAGCGGGGAAGCGCATCGCATGGTGGGTGGGAGTGGCGCGGGCGGGGCGGGCTCCGTGAGCAATAGGCGTCGCTCGCGTGAGCAACAGGCGGGCCCCGTGAGCGATAGGGGATCCAGGCGTAGGGGCGGCGGGCCTGGCGGCGGGGCGAGAGCAGTGAGCTTCAGTGATCTTGGACGGGAACCAAAGGAGGCGGTGAGGGATTACCTACCTCGAATTCTTCCACGCACAACAATCCAGAAAATTCCTATCTTCTTCCCCTTGCTTGAGTACTCACTACCGAGCCTGGCTGTTCTTCACCTTTCTACCTACCTACCTACTCACTCACTCACACACACACATGAAGTGTTGGGTCGTCTCTAGAGGCTGATTAGCCCAACCGCAGGGCCGGGGAGCTAAGAAGCGCACCCACCCAGAGGCCGGGCGATTGGAGAGCACTCACTCGCCTTTACTCAATCGCGCCTTTGCATCCTCCTCCAGGAGCTGTTCGAGGCCTCCCTCGCGGAGAATGCCTCTGACTGATAGCTCCTCGAACATCGTACCGGTGATGTTGGAGTCAGAGATGAAGCTGCTGGGGGTGGAGTCGCGGAAAGACGTCTTGAGCACCAGCTGTTGGTAGAGATAGTGTTCGCCGTGCTGATCCGGTTCTAGCCACTTGATTGCCACCGGCTGTGGAGCATCGGACTTTGCTTGGCGCGGGACGACGTATCGGGCACTGGGGATGATGGCTCCAGCCGGAGCGTCACCGTCAGCACCGTCCCCGGCACCGAGTCCGACCTCTGCTCTCGCATCGTCGTTTGTGCCGCCGTCATCGGCGGCATATGGAACGCCGCTCTGCGTGCATCGCCAGTACTTTCCAGCTCGACGACTAGCCTTGGGAATGTTTTTCCCCAGCACGGTGCGGTAGTGGCGGTGAAAGTATGGATAGAGCATTGCCTCCCAGTATGAATTGCCGGTCGTATCGCACGGCCTGCACTCGTACTGCTCGAGCGTGCCGTCCATGAAGCGCAGCGGTTTCCCGCCCGCGGCGTCGGTATCTCCGTCACCGCTGCACTCTGATCCGGACACCGATGCAGCATCGCAGTCGTCGTCATCGCTGCCATCGTCGCCGTCAGTCCTGTTCTGGCGAGTCGGAGCGCGCATACGCATGTGCGGCGGCTTGGTGCACAGGTGAACTACATTAGCGCCGCTTCGCATTGTGAAGCCCCACGCCCGGTGCACGCACTCAGGCTGTCCGACCAGACGGCCGTCGAGGAAATGCTGCTGCGATCCCACTCGGCTGCCTTCTTGTTGCCGCGTCGTGTCTTTGAGGAGCCCGTGGGGCTCCGGCTTGGGGACGTACCTATGACCAGAAGAGCGCGCGTGTGAGTAGCGCGTGCGGGATGCGTGGGGAGTGCCGTGTTCAGTCGGTGTTCTTAGCGGCGGCAACGATGGAGATGGTGAGCAGCGAAGTGGGGTTAGGGAGAGTGTCGCAGGAAATCGCTGCTCACTTCGAAGTGTAGTCCATGAATCCGGTGCCGGTGCATCGTTGTATGTTCATCGACGCGCCCCAGGCAAGCAGCCACTCGGCGACATAGGGGCTGATGCGTGTGTCCTCTTCGTACTCGCAATCGTACTCGTATCGACCCGATGTCGGGTTGATGGCGCATCCGCTAGCGCCGCGCGTCACGTTGTAGCGGCGCGGATAGCCGTACTTGCATTCCTCGCACGACACGCCCATCGACACCTTACACTTTGGTCGGCAGTCGTGCCGTTGGAGGCGCAGCACTAACTTTCGCCACTGGCGCTCTTCGCGCGTCCGGCAGGCCCGAGGTGCGGTGCCGATGATCGCGGAATCGCCTGGCAGCGGGGACGTGTCATCGAAGTCGCGATCCTCAGCCTCGGCCACCCAGAAGACTATGTGTATGTGGAGCGAGGCGCGCATCTGATCTTCTTGCCGCCACCAGACGCGTGTGATGTTGCCGATCGGCGACTGACCGGTGAGGTAGCGCTTGAGGAAGGCGTCCCACCGTCGGTTGTACTGACGCGTCGCCTCGACGGGCCGCTTCGAGTGATGCTCGCCATCGCACGCTGCCTTGAGGTCGGACCAGCCGGACTCGTTGCAAGTGAAGGTAGCCCAGTACTGTGGTGGGCCATGCTCGACCGCCATGGCGTGCAGCTCGGCGGCGGCTTCGTCCCAGTAGGCTTTGCTGCCCACGACGTTCGCACCGACTGTGGAGGTGTAAGACTCGAAGACGTTGCAGTATGGTACGTACTCCGGCGCGGCTTCGCGAAGGTCTTTCCACCGCTGATGCAGCGCTGCGCTGTGAGCGTTGACGTCATCGCTGGATGCATTCATTGCCAGGTGGGCGTTGACAGTCGACGTGCCTCCGCCTTGCATCGACCGCTTCGTCATGAGCTGGAAGTGGAACCAGATGAACTCCTCTGCACGGCCGAACGTGTCGGCGATACTCGCGAACATTTTTCGTCGGTAGTGCTTCCGAGAGCACGCGATTTCGCTGTCGACGCGATCGCCAGCGCCCTTTGGAAGCAGCACCGTGTGCGTCGCGTTGCCTGCGCTCGACTCAGGAGCGTCGGTGTCGAGCGGCTGCGACACCAGGGCGCCGTCGCGGAGACGCTTGTCTCCAAGCGAGGGGTCGCGCGTGAGAGACTGGTTGTGCGCCGTCGGATCGAGCGGCAGTGACGTCGTCGCGGCACCGATGAACGCGTTCGGGTGGGCGAGTCGGCCCTCTGGTCTCTCCGTGTCGTCATCGCTTTCGCTGTCGGACGGCTGCGTCATGGTTGGCATCGAGGAATCGATCTCGCGATGAAGGCACGTTAACGTCTTTCGGACGATGGGGTTGCCCGTCTGCTCGTCCATGAGGCGGTGCAGCGCCTCTCGTTGCACCGCGCGCGAGCCGCGGGAGTAGTCGCCGCCCGTGCGAGCCCGAGTCACGAGAAGAGACGACATGCCGTCGAAGTCTGCCGGCTCGAGGAGCCCACCTCCTCCGCAGTGCACGTAGCCGGCGCCACCGTACCCTTTGAACACCGGATTGGCCATTTTGAGGACACCGAGAGCGAGTCGGTCCCAGACCGAGCACGCAGCGTACTTGGGTGCCTGCTTCTCGCCGATGCCGATGGACTCATATGTGCCGTCGGCACGGTGACCGTCGAAGAGGTCGAGCTCGGCCGCGCTGCATTGGCTGTAGTAGAGCTTGCCTTCGTCGTCGCGACGTTTGCACGCACACTTGCACATCGAGCACGTGAAGACCTTGCATCCTCCGTTTGGATGCGGCTCGCAGAGAAACACCTCCTTGTCGGCGTCAGCGCGGTCCGCGTTTTCTGGCATGCGACCACGCATTTTGCGGATCGCACGCTTGATGTAGTATCGGAAGACGCGGTATGCGCGGCAGTCGTACTTTGATGTTACGTTGGAGACGCGGATCGTGTCTCCCGGCTGAGGGTGGTTTACCATGCCGCACTGAAAGCAGACACGGCATGGTGTCACTGCGATCTCTCGCATGTGCGTTGCAAGCTTATTCCACGTCGGAGTGTCGACAGGCAGATGCGTCTCGTCGGCGTGCTCCGAGTGATTTGACGAGATCAGGTTGTTGACGAGTTGCAAGTGCTCGGGGGCTCGCGCTCGAGGGTTGTGCGCCGGATCTTTGACCTGACGCCTACGAGTTGTGCACACACTGAGTATACCAGATGCGGGTGTGTGGGCATGACACGGGGGGCATGGCTGACCATCGCTCCCAGTACTGGTCGACGTCACTCGAGACGACGATGAGACGCGGTGAGCGGTTGTACAGGTCGAGCTCGCCGACTGTCTGCTCGGAGTTGTCGAGCAGCTGCTCGATCTCCGCGCCGGTCCACGAGGGGCCAGGCGTCGTATTTGTCGCATCAGACTGCTCCTCTGGCGGTGCCAGGTTGAGAGCTGATACGTTTCGCTCGTCGCCTTCGATGGTAATGATGCACGTCGAATTGATGTCATCTACGTTGTCGATTCGGGCTCGACGAGGGGCCGCCGTCGCGGTGGAAACGAACCATACATTGTCACCTTTGTTCAGCTGCACGACTTGCGGTGTGCTTGGCACTCCATCGTCCGTCGCCGCATCAGCAGCAGCTGGCTCGTCGCGACATATCGTCGAGTTGGCCGGCAGTGGCGGGCGAGGGCGATGCATGGAAAGAGTTGACTTGGAAACGGTCGTGCTGTAGTCGTCGATGCGGATCGTGTAGTATGGCAAGTTGTCCCACGGTCGGTGCTTGGCTACGATGGTTGCGTTTCGAGGCACGCCATCGCGGCACCTGTAGCGCACGCTCTCGGACACCGCGAAATCCTGAAGGTGGCTGCACGCAGGCATGGAGTCTCTGAGCACGGCAAGACGCACGGTCTTAGAGTTCGCTATCTCCGCTGCACCAGGCGGAGCTGCTGTCCGGAGCCATCGTGCGACGTGCTCCGTGAGCTTGCCGACGGTCATAGTCGAACACACGTCTTCCAGTCGGAAACGATCAGACGCATCGAGTGTGACCGCTGTCTCTCGATGGTCGTCGAAGAAGCAGAATCGCGTCGCGTCGAGCTGAAGCTCCCACGTCTGCGGTGCCTATGATGTGATCGTGACGAGACGAGTGAGTAGATTAAGATTGCGCGTGGTGGATCGAGACACCGTCCGAGGCATAGGGTTTGTCGGTGAGAGTGGCGGGGAACGTGAGTGTGCTGGCATGGAGCTGGTGCGAGAGCGCAGCAGAGGCGTACGTGTGGCTCGATGTTTGACTGTCAGCGATAGCTACGGTCTCCGAGTGTCGACGAGCGGGTATGCGTGTCATGGTGCGTGCGGGTGCTCGGACACGAAGGCGTCGGCGCTGTGAATCTGTATGTTGTGGTGAGCGAAGAGGCAGGCGGAAATGTCGGCGGCGGCGTTGAGGGGGGCGGCGGCGGCGGCGGTGTCGAATGTGTAGGTGACGTAGCTGGAGATAGTATCGGCAGAGATCTCTCGGAGGGTATGTTGTGGTGAGCGAAGAGGCAGGCGGAAATGTCGGCGGCGGCGTTGAGGGGGGCGGCGGCGGCGGCGGTGTCGAATGTGTAGGTGACGTAGCTGGAGATAGTATCGGCAGAGATCTCTCGGAGGTGGCGAGGTCGGCGGTGGCTGAGGCGGTGGCGACGGCGACAGTGGGGGTGTAGTGGGCGCCGACGAGGGCGGTGGCGGAGCCGAGGGCTGTGGAAGCGGCGCATGTACAGAGGCTATCGACGGAGGCATCGAAGGTGGGGCCGAGGGCGTCGGCCGCTCGAGAGCGGTGACGGACGCGTCGGCGGTGGGGAAGGTGGCGGAGGCGACAGCGCCACAGAGGGGCGTGACGGAGACAGCGGCGACGGCGAGGTGGCGCCGGCGGGGGTGGGGACGGTGAGGGCGGGCGGGGGGGGGGGGGGGGGGAGCCGCCACCGCGGTGATGAAGACGGCGGCGGCGTGGTCGGCGGCAGCGATGGTGGAGGCGGTATAGGCGGTGTTGAGAGGGGCGGCGGAGAGTGAGACGACGATGACGGCGGCGGCGAAGAGGGTGGGTGCGCGACGGTAATGGCGGGGGCGTCCGTGGCGAGGGCAGCGGTGACGATGGTGGCGGGCTCGCAAGAGGAGGACTCGGGGATGGCGGAGATCGTGACGTCGGTGTTGGGGGGGGCGGAGAGGGCGGCGGCAAGGGCGGTGGCGGTGGGGAGGGTGGCAGGTGGAGAGAAGTGTCGGGATGAGCGATGGTGAAGGCATGGAGGAAGTACGCGAGAGAGATCGGCGGAAGTGGAGGTGTGGGTTGCCGCTACGTTCCTAAGATAGCGACAGTGATTTAGTGCTGATAACGGGACTGCGATACGTGTGCGCGTTGTAGGCGTGTAGGCTCAGGCCTGTCAGCGCAGCGCGGCGTTTGAGTGAGGTGGGGCGGGATGGCGAGGAGAGAGATTGTGTCAGTAGCGGAGGAGGGTGCTGGGAGGCCGTCTGAGTCTAGCTCGGCGCTGCCGTCGGTCGCGAGGTCCGTGACGTAAGTTGAAGTAATCTCGCGGACGGTGGGGTCCGATGTGATTATCATTGGGTGATGAATGACAGAGGAGATGCGGGTTTGGGAGGGTGTGGATTCACTAGTCGATAGAGATCGCCGAATGATCACGCGCGCGTGCAGGCGAACAGGGTAAGGGAGACACCTTTGCGACGCCGCGAATCCAGTCGATCTGCGCGCACGGCGGTAGAGCGAGGGTCGAGTCGATCGGCGTCCAGATGTCGTGCTGCAGGTACTGAAACGGCGCCTCCGGGTCGCAACGGCTGTTGTGGTGCGCGTCGCGTACCAGTGGCGTGACGTTCTGAAGTCGGCGTAGCTGGAGCTTGATTGACTTGTAGCTGCGGACACCAACGCGTATCTCGTTGATCTTTGCGCCGCTCTGGTACGTGTGAAGCAGAAGGCGGTCCTCCTCGATCGTCCATGGAGTGTAGTTTGAGCTCATCGACACGTTTTTTCGCGCGTGCAGCTTCACGAGAGCGTCCTCGACCCACGGTTGCAGGCTGATCTCGGTGCTGTTCAGCTGCGTCTCCGCCTCGTCGCGCTCGTCGCAGGATCCACAGATCAGTCGGAGGTCGTCGAGAGCGTCGAGTCTTTTGAGAACCTTTTTCCATCGCCACTTGATTGCATCTTTGCTTCGTTTGGTGGCGGATTCAAACGGCCACTGCTCTGCCACCTTTGGCAACGAGATGCCGTCTCGAACGTGGCGCAGCAGCACGAAGGCATCCATCTCCGGACGCCACGGGACGGCGCTGTGCTTCGATCGGCCGGATGCGTGGACGGCCATGAGGCTGCGACGCAGAGCACCGGGAAGAGGTGAAATGTAGTCCTCTTGCACCACTGGGTCGGACGAGAAGGGACCGCCGTTCATGGCAGCGAGAGCGTAGAGGAGCAACCTGTGCATCGCCAGCACAGAGCCAGCAAAGCCGCCTCGAATCGGTGAGGGGATCGTGGCGGCGATCGCTGGGGACGTGTCCCTTCGACGGCGAACTCCACCCCCTTGGGGCTTTTGGAAAAATGCTTCCCAGAAGACTTGAGTTGTAAAGAACAACGCGCTAGCCGCGCGACGACACTCGATCGACAACTCTCCGTTCATGCGACCTAATGTGCGCCTCTCGGCGAACCTCAGCATGCTCTTCACCGAGGCTCCCTACCTCAAGCGCTTCGGCCTCGCCGCCCGTCACGGCTTCCGCGCCGTCGAGTCGCTCTTCCCGTACGGCGAAGCACCTGCGAGTGCGGTGGCTGCGGAGCTTGAGAGGCACGGGATGGAGCAGGTGCTTGTCAACGCGCCTCCTGGCGACTGGGCCGGCGGCGAGCGCGGCGTCGCCGCCCTTCCGGATCGGGGCGGCGACCACGAGGCGAGCCTTCGCGAGGCGTTTGTGTACGCCGCTGCAATCGGCTGCCCGCGGGTGCATGTGCTGGCCGGCCTGCGGCAGCAGGGTGCGTGCGAGCAGACCTTTGTCGAGCGGCTGCGCGCGGCTGCGGGCGAGGCCCAGTCGGCCGGCATCACGCTCTGCGTCGAAGCTCTCAACCCTTCCGACGTGCCCGGCTACCTGCTGCCATCGCAGGCGCGCAGGAGAAGGGTGAGGTGCACACAGCCTCAGAGCGAAGATCTGCGCCGAAAAGTGCGCCGCCGGCGAAGAACTGCACCGTTTTCGGGGCAGATCTGCGCCGGCGGCGCAGAAGTGCGCCGTTCCCCCGTTTCGGCGCGCTCTGCGCCGCCTCACCACATAAGGGTTGGCGCACCAAATACTGGTTGCACGTTCCTAGGGGGGTTGGGAGGCAGGAGAGCCGCGGCAAGCCGAGCACGAGAGAGGCGCAGCCGAGCCGCCGCCGCCGCCTCTCCCGTCGCAGGAGGACGCCGCGCGCGTGGTCGACGCCGTCGGCCACCCGGCCTGCGGCCTGCAGTTCGACCTCTACCACCTCCAAAAGGCGGCCGCGCGGTGGCCGAGTGAGGCGGTGCGGTGCGCGATCCGCACGTACGCGCCGCGCGCTGCCCACGTCCAGATCGCAGGTCCGGAGGGGAGGCACGAGCCCGACGCGGCGGCTGCGGCTGCGATGCTGGCGCTCCTCGAGGAGGGCGGATACCGCGGCCACGTCGGCTGCGAGTACAACCCGGCGGGCGGAACCAGCCGCGGGCTTGCGTGGGCGGCCGCCTACGGCATCGAGGCACCGCGCGAGGAGCCAGCGTGACGCGCGCAGCCAGTCGACACTCTTGTCACCTGACTGTACAGGCGCCTCCCGTTCGACTCTTGCTGTCGCCCTCGCTGTGTGTTTGTCAATAAATAAATAAATAAAACGGGCACGCCAAACGAGGGGTGGGAGAAGGACAGGGTCCCCACCTGCACGAGCAGGATCTTGTAAGGACGATCAGGGACACAGGGGAACGGGAGCGGGGAGCGTTTGTCAAGCCAGTAACCTCGCTTGAACGAAATTTTCTTTCAGCAAAGGCACGCGGCGTTTAGGGCATGCCCGCGCTCTCCTGCCCTCTCGCGCTCCCCTCGGCGTCGCCCTCCGCGCCACCCGCTGCACGCCGACGAGGTCGCGCCCGCCCCTCCGCCCGCGCAGGCTCGTGAGGATAAGAGCGAGCTCAAATGGCTGACGAGGAGACGACGGAGGTTGAGGTCGCCGAGACGGCCCCGGTCGCCGAGGCGCCGGCGGTGATGGACGTCGAGACGGCGCTCAAGCTGGTGTTGAAGAACGCGCTGGTGCACGACGGCGTCGCCCGCGGCCTGCACGAGTGCGCCAAGACGCTCGACAAGGGCCAGGCGCAGCTGTGCGTCCTCTCGGCCGACTGCTCTGAGCCCGAGTACACCAAGCTCGTCGAGGCGCTGTGCGCGGAGCACGGGGTCAACCTGATGAAGGTGTCGGACAAGAAGCAGCTCGGCGAGTGGGTCGGCCTCGCCAAGCTCGACCAGGAGGGTGCCGCCCGCAAGGTGCGACCCCTCAAGCCCTGCACGCAGCCCTCTCTCGGCCTCTCCCGCCGCGCGGATCCTCTGCCGCAGCTGCACGGCTGGCTGCCCCGCCTCTTCAGTCCCCTCTGAAGCCCCCCCCCCCCCCCCCCCCTCTTCAGGTCGTCGGCTGCTCGTGCGTCGTCGTGCGCGAGTGGGGCGAGGAGTCGGAGGCCCTCTCCATCCTGCAGGACTACTTCAAGTCGAAGTAGCTGGCCCACATCCGCACTCACGGGGACCCTCCGGTGGCAGCGCTGTGAGGACGCGCGTGCACTCGCTCGTGCCCCCAGCTTGGCAGCGCGCGGTCCTGGTGGTGGTGGTCGTTATTTGTCGCCTCGCCAGAGGCAGAGCGCCCCCGCACACCCCGCACGCCAGCAGCCGCCGTAAATGGTGCTCTTTAATACGATCGATACGGGCATGCCTAACATGTCATCTAGAAACGCACACTGTGCATGGCCTTATCCTCTACCTAACGCCGTAACGCGTACATGCTACATCCCCCGCGCCTTCCCGGCCCCGCGCGGCCGCGCGGCCGCGCCGCACGCGGGCCACGGCGCGCACGCACTGGGACGCACTCCACCGCGAGACGATTGATCGATTGTGTCCGTATCTCGATTCTCGGGCTCGCGCCGCGCGGTCCGGCTGGCCGCCCCGCCGGCGCCCGCGGCTCTATGCGGTGCATATGGCCCGATCGTGCGGGTGGTGTGTGGGCGGGGGGGGGGGGGCATATCAATGTGGCATGTGGGCGGGCCGCCTCGCCGGGCCGCGGGCCGCGCGCGCGGTGCTCGAGCACCGACCTGCTGCTTACGTGTTGCGGCCGGGCGGCCCGCCCCCACTCCTCGCGCCGCCACTCATGCGTCCCGCGGCCCGCCCGCCCGCGGCCTAGAGAGCCGTCGGCGCGCGAGTCGGCGCGCCCGACCTCTGCTCCGCGGTGTCGTCGGTCTCGGATCGCAGCGCTCTCTCTACTGAGATTCGCTCTTCTTGCCGAAGGGCCGCACCGCCTCCGGCTACCTGGGCTTAGCCCCTCCCCCTCCTGCGGTCGACGTGCGGCCGTGGGTCGGAGCAAGGCAGAGAGCGCAAACGCAAGACATCGTTCAAGGGCAGGGTGCGGGACAGCGCAGCACCTTGAGGCTCGCTCGGGTACGGAGTGTAGACGCCCAAGGCGCGGCCAGAGCTGCTGCGCTCCGCTGACGGCGGCGACGCGGGCGGCGTGCTCCCGCCGTGCCAGCCACCGGGGTCGACTGGCGTCGCGCTCTGCGGAAGTTGGCCGACGGAGAGGAGGAGCGCGTATTTTTGGTCGACGTTGACCGCCTCAAAGCGCAAGGTCTGCGTGCCGCATCCGCAGACTCCGCCGCAGCCGGAAAGGAAGAAGACATTGCCTGGACCGTCGACAACACTCACCCGCTGGGCGTCCCACTTGTTCGTTACCTGCCCGCCGTCGCAGCTTACGATGGTGCCGTTGTCAAGGATCAGTAACTGCCGTGGGTAGGAGCCCCTCCACGGCCAGAACGAGTGCTTGACGACATCGAGAGCTGCCATATACACAAAACATATCTTAGTGGGTTATCTGTTTTACCTGTCGCAAAAAGAATTTCGCGATCATGTAGTGCAAAGGCTGCTGGCGGCGTGCCGTCCTCCCATCCCTCCCTTGGGTTGTCTGTTTTCTTTCTTTCTTTCTTTCTGCGGGAGAGAGGAGGAAGTGACAAGGGAGAGACCGACGAGAGTGGGACGGCCGCGAGGTGGCATGAAGGTTGCAGCGAGAAGCGGCGAGAGACTGCGAAAAGAGATACGAAGAGGCAGACTCCCCAGGGTGGGCGACGGCTAGCGCACCACACTCCTCTCCTTAAAATCCCTGTGTGGTGGCGGCGTGCCGTTCTCCCATCCCTCCCTTGGGTTGTGTGTTTTCTTTCTTTCTTTCTTTGCGGGAGAGAGGCGGTCTCCTAGAGGCGATTGCTTACTATAGATCAAAGCTAGAGGCGGTGGTCTTTGTGTGGGTGCCATCGCACGTGGGAATAGCCTGCAGCGCATACGGACGTAGCGACAGCATACCTCGGAAACAACGATACGGAGGACGCCTCAAAAGTGGTGAGGGACGCGGTGCGAACTAGGCCATGCATGTACACGACGCGAAGGGAGGCGGCAGAGGACACAGAGAAGAGGGAGATAGTGGACCGACGGACGTACGGGCACATGTGTCAGAGCGCGCACGAGTGGGTGTGCGAACAATTTCGGAAGACAGGTGAGGCCGGGATCACACACGACACACGGCAGGGGTGGCGACAATGGGTCCTCGGAGAGGATACCCTGGGTGGGCGGGGCCTCTACTCGCCAGCTCCAGACCCCTCCATCCGCACAACCCCTCCGGCCCCTCCAGCCCCCTCCGACCCCTCCAGCCCTCTCTAGCCCACTGGACCCCTCCTACGCCTCGCTTTTGGCCAGCCCTCCAACCACCCACCCCTCCGAGTGCCCTCCTGGGCCCTGCCGCCTGACACCTCTATCGGTGGAGGGCTTTAGGTCACGGTCCACACTCCCGCCCTCCCGACCCCTCCACACCCCTACAGCGGCACCCCTACCCCTCCCGCCGTTTTAGGGCCTCCCCACCCGCACTCGACTGAGAATCGGTTTGCGCACGCACGTCCGCGAAGGCCACCCCGGGGTGCCGGCATCATCAGCAACGGCCTCCTCTGCAACGTCGCCGATGCGGTTTGTGAGGATTGCATCGTGGAGCCGCACCCGACATTGCCGGAGTGCAATCGCCAGCGGCGCCACCAACTTCCAAGGCCTCGCGTGCCTCGCTGGCTGCTCTCCCACTCCCTCGTCTCAGAGCCGTCGTGCTCGGAGCTCGCTGTGTGCTGTGTCCCGATAACCTGGACGACGCAAGAGGCTCTTCGGAAGAGGCGAGAACGGAGAGAGAAGACGGGCGTGCCTTTCCTGCTGAAAAGAATTTCGGCCGCCGAACACATGTTGCTTAAAATCCCTGTGTCGGGTGAACCCCGGGTGTGGCGGCGTGCCGTCCTCCCAAAGTCCCATCCGCCATCCCTCCCTTGGGTTGTCTTTTTTTTCTGATTCTTTTTTCTCTCATGTTCATGTGGGCGTCGAGCCGCCGAGCTGTTGCATAGTCAGCGTGCGCGTGATAAGAATCACCCCTCGACGGGTCGCTGCGGCGGCCACTGCGCCGATTCGAGGCCGTACTTTTGGAGGGCGTAGTCGCCGCTCTTGGCCACGCTCTGCTGCGCAACCTCGAGCGCCGTGTTGAAGCCAAAGATATCGAGGAACCTGAAGTGGCCGCGCAGGTAGGCGTAGGGCACTAGCGACGGCTCTTTCGTCGCGAGCAGGTTGGTCGGCGCGGGCAGGTCCTTGAAGTACAGGATGGGGAGGATGGCGAGCGAGACGGCCAGCATCGCCGGTCCGCCGCCCACCAGCCACGCCACCGACGGCACGAGCAGGTAGAGCATCCGCTCGCCAGCAGTCCACATGTGGTGGGAGAGCACCATCAGCAGCATCACCGTCCCGCGCGACGTGCCCTCGTCGCGCTGGTCGTTGGCCACCTGGAAGAGGAACGCGACCGTGTTCATGTAGCGCACGCTCTGCAGGTACGCGAGCGCCGCAGCGACGAGCATCAGCGATGTCGAGCCGTACTTGACGAGCTCGAGCGCCGAGAGCGTCTTGCGCGACGCGAGGCCGATGAGCAGCGAGAGCGTCGTGAAGCACGCCGAAGAGAAGAAGGACGCCGACGTCAGGCCGTTGCGCAGCGTCTGCACGCCCAGGATGTAGTCGCCCTTCTCGAGGATGTAGCGCGTCCACACCGCGCGCGCCTCGGCGTTCTGCGAGCTCCAAGCCGCGGTGTAGCGGTTTGACACGAGTTGGTAGGTGGCGATGATGGCCCAGCCGGCGAAGCCGAGGGGTGCGTCGAGCTGCTCGAGGCTCGGCATCGCGCAGCCGAACTTGGCGCAGGGCGGAGGGCTGCGGCAGTCGAGTCGCGGCAGCAGAGGCCTCGGCGGCAGCGTCGTAAACGCGACGGCTAGCGGTGCGAAGAGAGCGAGCATACTGCCAACCCGCTGGCGACACTCTGGCGAGTAGAGGCACACGCACGCTCTCCCAGGTCTCTCGGAGCAGAGCCCCGTCGAGTCATCGAAAGAGCGTGAATGGGTCCTCGCGGAGAGGGTACCCTGGGTGGGCGTTGCCTCTACTCGCCAGGGCGACAGTTAAAAAAATTAAAGAAAAAACCTCCGCACCGCCCACCGCGCCGCCGCTCCTGACTTGAGAGGGCGCCTGGCATTCGCGCCCCGCTGTCGTTCCCATGCCGCTCGACAACTTCTCGAAGGTGGACTTCTCCAAGATCGACCCGAGCGAGTACGAGGAGGAGGGCGCCGCGGCGAAAGCCATGTGCGCCGTCGCCGCTCAGAGTGGAGCCGCACGCTGCCTGCCACGCCGCCCACACCATGCCACGCCGTCGCCACAGGCAGGAGCGGATGCTGGACGGCGACCTCCCGGAGCACATGGGCATGGAGGAGATGATGGCGGGCATGGGAATGGGCGGCGGCATGGGCATGGGCGGCATGGGCGGCGGTGCTGGGCTCGAGGGGCGCGACTGGGACGAGTACAGGGTGGCGTCGATGGAGCCGGGCGACGTCGGGCTGACGCTGGACTGCAGCGGGGGCAAGGGCGCCCTCACAAAGACGCTGCGTCGCGCCGGCGCGCGCGACGACTTTGAGAACCCGTCCGACCGGTGGGAGGCTGTGCTGCGGCTCTCGGGCGCCGTCGCCGGCGGCGGTGTGCGGCGCGAGCCGTGCCGGAGGGTCTGCTTCGGCGCGTGGGGTCGACGCGTCCACGACGCGCTTCCCCTAGGCGCGCCGTTCGACTCCTTCCAGGGGTGCGTCACGATGGGGGAGGGCCGCCTCTCTGCGTGGCTGGACAAGGCCGTCCGCACGATGAAGCGCGGCGAGGCGTCCACGCGCAGATGCCGAGCACAACCTGCAAGTCGCACTCGCGAGGACGCGTAGTCAGCGGCATTCAGCGGCCGCCCGCGGTAGTCGCGGCGGGCTTCGCAGCCCGTGCACTCACGCGATGCTCCGGATTCACCACCCGAGACCGTGTTCCCGCCCTGACGCTGGCGTCTTCGCACCGCAGGCGTCCGCCTTCACCGTCCTGCCCGCGGCGCGGGACGGGGAGGCACTGCTCTCGGTGAGGCGCGAGGGCGGCCCGTCGGCCGAGGGGCTGCCGGCCGAGGCGGTGCTCGAGTACGAGGCATGGCAGCGCGAGGTGCGAGAGGACACGTGGCACGACGCGTCCAGGACGCGTCCAGGACATGTCCTCGCCAGGTGGAGCTGCGGGAGCTGCGGGAGGTGCAGGTGTTGTGCGACGGCCTCCTACTCCAAAAGACGCTCGTGCGCGCACCAAAGGGCCCTGGCTCGTGGGAGCTGCCCGGCGAGCGCGCCGAGGTGCGCTGCTCGTGGCGCGGCGAAGTGGAGGCGACGGGCTTCGTCTTTCGAGGGGAGGCGCCGTTCCGTTACTCGCGCGCCGACGCGTCGCTCCTGCGCGTGTGGCGGGAGCTGAAGATGAAGCGGGGCGAGGTGGCGGAGCTCAAGGTGGCGCCCGAGCTCGCCTACGGGTCGGGAGGCGAGCCCGAGCTGGGCGTGCCCCCGGGCGCGTCTTTGCTCCTCCGCGTCGCCATGGGGGACTGGAACGACGTCGAGGACGTCTCCCCGGGCAGGGACGGGTCGGCGCTCAAGGTGGTCGAGATCCACCCGAGATCCACCCGAGATCCACCCGAGATCCACCCGAGATCCACCCGAGATCCACCCGAGATCCACCCGAGATCCACCCGAGATCCACCCGAGATCCACCCGAGATCCACCCGAGATCCACCCGAGATCCGCCCGAGATCCACCCGAGATCCACCCGAGGTCCACCCGAGATCCACGCTCCAGGCTCACGCCTCCAGCTTCACGCCTCCAGCTTCACGCCTCCAGGTGGTCGAGTCTCGCGGCGAGGGGTGGCAGCGGCCCATGCAGCGGTACGTCTGCACCCTCTCGCTCGAGGTTGAGGTGCGCGCGTGCGCCGAGTCGGCGCCGGAGAAGGTAGCGCCCGAGGCGGAGGTGACGATGGCTCTCGGCGGAGGGTCTGTGGAGGCGCCGCTCGAGGAGGTGTCTCGCCTCGCAGGGCTGGGGGCATGGGGCGTCGGGGCGGCGCTGGACGTGCTCTTGCCGACGATGCAGCGGCGCGAGCGGGCGGTGCTGCGCTGCTCGCAGGCTCTGGTCGGCGGCCCTCACGAGCGTGTCGACGTGCGCCGCCGCCCTCTCGCCCTAGAGATGGCGGGGGGGGGGGGGTGCAACTTGTTCCAACTCGTCGATGACCGAGCCCTCCCCTGACCCCCTGACCCTCCCTGACCCCCTGACCCTCCCTGACCCTCCCTGACCCTCCCTGACCCTAGGTGCGCGCCACTCTCTCGTCGTGGGTGCGCGTCGAGCCGGTGCCTCACACGGCCGAGGCGGTCGTGCGCACCGTGCTCGTCGAGGCGGAGGAGCGTAGAAGCGGGATACGTGTTCACGCATTCCTGTACTCCAACTCGCGCTCGAGAGGACAACCTCTCCGCTGCACTCAACCGCATTCCGCTGCACTCAACCGCATTCCGCTGTATTCGGCTGTATTCGGCTGTATTCCGCTGTATTCGGCTGTATCCGGAAGCCCGTGCGCTGCTCTGAAGACTCTGCACGAGACCGTCCTCCCGCCCTGAGGCTGGCGTATCCACCATGTAGGCGGAGCAGGAGCACGAGCGCCCAAACGAGGACGCGAGGTGCGAGCTGGCCACCCTCCCCGCCACCCTCCCCGCCACCGTCCCCGCCGCCCTTCCCCCTCCACCCTCCCCGCCAATTTTCCCGCGGCCCTCCCGGCCGCCTTTCCCGCGGCCCTCCCGCCACCCTCCCGGCCGCCTTTCCGGCGGGGGCCTTTTCCGGAAGCCCCTTTCCCTCCCCTCCCACCTCCTTTGGGTTCACCCGTCCTGGGCTGGAGCAGGCTCCCTTTCCAGCAATCTCCCCACCAGCAGGCTTCCCCCCCCCCCCCCCCCAAAGGTGCGAGATCACCTTTGCGGTGCGGGCGGCCGGCTCGGGCGCGCTGCTCGAGGAGGCGGCCGAGCCCGCTCCTCGTCGCGTGAGGCCCTCCGGGATCACCCGGGATCACCCGAGATCTCCCGAGACCAGGCGACCGAGCCGGTCAGCGTCGTGCAGGGCGACGGTGCGGTCATCCGCGCCATCGACGCGGCGCTCCTCGAGATGAAGCGCGGGGAGGTGGCGCTGCTGCGCGCGCCGGCCGCGTGGTGCTACGGCGAGGGGTCGGGCTACACGCGGCCGGCAGGCTTCCCTGCCGACGAGGCGGAGGCGGAGGTGGAGGCGGAGGTGCGCCTAGTCGGCTTCGAGCGCGGCAAGGAGGCGCGGGCGATGGGCGGCTCGGCGAGAGGCTAGCCCGAGGCGAGGATGAGTCGAGCGCTCGGTCGTGGAATTAGGCGTGGGCGATGAGCCTCGCCGAGCGTCTCACCGGGCAGCTCAAGAAGAAGGAGCAGGGCAACGCGCTCTTCCGGCGGGGAGAG